GGGGAAGCTTCTGGCAGCTTCTCACAGAAGCCACCCCTGCAGCTGCCCCGCTACCAAACCCTTGCCATGCAAACCCGATACAAATATATGCTTGCGAGAGCGCATCTGAGTGTGTACATGTGGATGTAGGCAGCTACAGAGCCTAAGGCCTGATCCTGAGCAGTGTTTGCTTATACGAGTAATCTCATTAGGACTAATTTAGTGGGTGATGGCTGTGCATTCAGGTCCGAGGCATGGAGGACCAGTGCAGAGTGGTGTCAGAAAGCTGTGGCTCTGCACTGCTGCTGGGGCTGCACCTTGGGGACAAGTCCCAGGCTCAGGTGGGGTCCAGCCCTGAAAATCAGCACCTGGAGCCTTTCTCCCTGCAGCCAGGCCAATACGGGGTGCCCCGAACCCAGCAGGTGAAAGAACAGTTTTATGAAGAAGCCTGTGAAAATGACACCTAGTCTTGCACAGTTCCCTTTACAATTAAAAAAAAAATAATTCTGGAAAACTTCTGAGAACAACAAGAATCCTTCTGCCTCTGACCAGTTCTGCTACTGGCAGGGCAGTGCATTTTCCTTCATGTAAGCTTTCAAGGTACTGCGACTAGTTTTAATGATGGGAAGCTCGGCAGGCACTAAATGTTACCGAAGTCGGCTGAAGGAGAAGGAAGGAGCCAGCGTATCCAGTCGCCTCCCAGCAAACTCAGCCATCCTTCCGTCGCGGAGCAGTGCGGCGTGTAGGTCTGACTAGGCAGACAAGGTAAATGTTAATCCTGGTTTACCACAGTAATACCATGTCAGATGAATTACTGAGGTATCAGTGCTGTGCCTTCTGTTCACTCTGGTGATCTGTGGCTCAAATTACCGGGTAAGAATATGGTTTCAAGTTATTGGAAAAGCAGTAAATTGCCTCTGCATGTGGGATTTGCTACTGTGTGTTACCAGCTCAGGACCAAATGCAATTGCATGTGAGTTCCTTGTGTAAAATGGAGAGGAGATCTGGGATGAGAAGCCTTGGAGGGATTTTCATACACTTGGCCTGACTGCCCGTCACAGGGGCGATAAGGTTTTGTATGGAGAGGTTGTTATTCACAACAGCGCTGAATTCGGTGCCGATGGCTCAAAACTGGTGTAGAATCGCAGACAGCTTGATTGAGCCCTCGCTGTCAGTGTGGTGCTGCTGGTACCTGCATGTTCCCCCACTTACCAAGCAGGGAAGGGTGATGTGCTCACCTGCTGTTGGTGTGAAGCACATCCCCAGCACGCTTCTGTCTGATGCCAACATTTAGCAAACCCTGCGGTAGTGCAATCCTGAGCCAGACATACAAGCGGTTGGGATATATGGCGGCGACTCAGACATAATTGTATCAGGCACTGACAGCTTTAACACATTTTCTTCTGTCATGCATCTCCTGAACATCATATCTACCCTATTCTAATAACTGTGGAAATGATGAGGGGGGCTTTTGGTTTTTGGGCACATTTCTCACGTGCTTTTGTCATGCTTAAGTAAAGCCACCCTGTGAACAGCAAAACTCAACTTCAGGCAAAATTTCCTTCTCTAGGAAGGGTTTAACTTATACCACATAAATGGGGATAAATTATGTTATAATATAATCTGGCTATGGTCATTTTTAAGCAACGTTTATAATACAGAGGAGGTTTTGAAATTTGATATATCACTAGTATAGGAGAAGGACAAGTACTAACCTATGGTTTTACTTAGCCAGAAAAGCACGTGCAGGCAGCAGTCTCCTGGGGCTTGCCTTGGTGGTTCTTAGGTAGAAACATGGAAAGGCTGTGCACACTTTTGTGTATTGGATAATGTGGGTAATGGCAGGCCCGCCCCCGAAGGCCGCCCCTGCCACTGGGTCCAATAGTGCGTATGTTCCTGGCTCAGCTAGCGCCGACGTATCATCAGATTCTTAAAAGCGAAGGTTATTAACAACTGGAACTGTTCTGTCCTTCTGTTCCCTAGTCATCTTTCTGTCTCTGAAATAACCTGCATACCTATAAGAACTTTTTAACTAACTCAGTGTATAATACTCTTCTGTGTTTGGGATTGTGGAAATAGGACAAGGTGTTGCTCCTCCAGGAAGAAGGAAGCATGTCTGGGGTCTTTCCTAGAGTAAGACTTTATAGCTTCTTCCTGGGTATATTTTACATAAATAAAAAAAACCATTCATCTGAAAAATACAAACCTTATTGCTTACAGAAGACAATGGGCACCTTTAAAAGTAGTGATGAGATGGAGGGAGTGGCCCCAGCTAGAACAGTTTTTAAACAGCAGTTGCCACCCTTAGTTTGGCAGCAACAGTAGCTTCAGTTAGGTGCAGTGATTGACCTTGCGTTGCGCTTCTGGGCTGTTGCACTGTGAAGGAAAAGATACCTGCCTAAAACCTCTCCTGAGGTTTGTTGGCCTCAGGTGCCGTCCAGGGTGTGTGTTTCCTGCTGTGCTGTGAAATGTATGGTGACAGTACATAAACAGAAAAGCTGTTCCTGGGGACAAATCACCTTGTTGTTGTTCACCTGGTGGTTTGTGGCAATTCTCTTGGGTTCTTCAGCAACATCGCTCCAATAGCTCCTGATGTTACATGGATCTTGTGTTGTGGACAAATGGAGGTCGTGAACTTGATAAACTGCCAGGTTTTTTTTATTGTCAGTCCACTTGAACTTGTGGTGGACTTGAAACCTTCAGTGTTGACTTCTTTAAGTTTTTGGAGCTCTTCTGGGCTTTGTGAAGTGCACTATTCATCATCTTCATCTCCTTGGTTAGGAGAATAAGTAAGGTCAAGCAATTAACAGCGGGTGCGTCTATCACGCTCCGTAAGAGCCTGTTGCCCTTGGGGCGTGCAGTGATGCCTGATGTCGGAGAGTCACAGAAGTGGCCAGCCAGGGCCCTGGGCCTTATCCCAAGAACAGAAGGAAAAATAACTGCATCCTTACGTACCCCTTAGGTTGTCTTCATGTTTGTTTTGTGGTGATTAGTGACTGATCTGAAGGTAAAACTTGCAGTGTCTAAGCTGACAACGTAGCATGTTAACCCACGCTACAAGTCGACGCAAGTCTTTGGACTGTCTTGTTCTGCCGCAGCCCCCTTATCCCTTTTGATTTGTAGCTCAAACTGACAAACAGCACATCGGGGTGCTCACATTTGTGAGTGTTATGTGCTGGATCTGCCTGGATCCAGTGCCAGATTTGGAAGGGTGGTGGAGGAATTTGTTCTACTGCGGTTGCTGGCAGTCGTTTTTCACCCCCCTCCTGAAGTGCAGCAGCTGTTTGCCAGATGTGTGCAGTGTCAGCATGCTCACGCGTGCAAAACAGGTAAGGAGGGTTACCAACCCTCTGCTCCTGAGACGTAGCAATTGATCTGGATCTCAAAACCCACCACCACTGCCCTGGAAACTTGAACTGAGAGAGAAGTGACAGGTTCATGCCGTACTGCCCCTTTTGACCCCAGACGGAAACATGCAGTAGGCCAGGACCTACGTCTGGCTCTGATGGAAATGGCTGGCTGTCAAACTTTAAGCTTGCCTTCTAGGCGTGCACGTGCAGATACAGGGGAGTCCATACTGATTAAATCCTCATAGAGCTGTGGCTGCGCTAGGTCAGTTAACGCATCGGCATGGGGTCCTCCAGGCCTCAGTCTCAGAAGCATCTGAGTATACCAGAGGAACTGGATGATGGAGTTGCAAATTATAACTCCACTTAATCATTTGCCAGGCAAAAGCCTCTCTAAAACCTAGCCCTCTATATAAACATTGCAAGTTTTCTGTTTTAAGGAGTATTAAAAAGATCAAGATAGGGACATAGATGATGCAATCACAGGAACTCTTTCTCCAGCAAGTGATGTTAGAAGTGCTTTGTATCATGATAATGCCTGTGTATTGTGCAGAAATTTCAGTTCCTTAGACAGAAAAGTACCAAATACTTAATTTTCTTTTTGCTTTCCTCATCTTTCAACAGATTCAGATATCTGGCTCTGGAAACGTAGAGCTAACAGTCTGACTGGGCTGATGAGTTTGGTTGCCGCATCTTGAACATTTAGTTTTTCCTTATGCTCTGGCGTCTGTTATTCTTTAGCACAATCACACTGAATATCAATTAGGAGGCAAGAAGATGATTGTGGAAAACTTGGGTGAGGGGAATGAGATGCTGACTGTGATTTTGGCTGTTTTGAGTGGGGGTGTGTGTTTGCTCTGAATTGTTTCTGAACTTTGAAAACTCTTCAGTGTTAAACTACACACGCTCCGCAGTGACATGAGATTTTGAGATCCCTGTGACTTGCATTCCTCTCGCTAAAATCACAATAAATGGTCTCTTCCGCAGGCAGGAAGACAAGACAAGTGGTCAGTGCCAAAGTTATTTAGCAGATGGTGCTTGAGTACTGAGCAACATCATCGTTTCAACTGTAAGGCACATAATGGATGTCTACTGGCCTGGGAAATGAGACCCCCAGCGTTACTCGCATGCTTCCGTCTCCCATCCTGCAAGATGCTACCATCTGTCCAAGACATGGAGCCAGGCCTCACTTAAATAAAGAAATAAATCCATTTCCCCCTTCTTTCCAAAGCTCTTGACATCTCTGAGTTAAATAAAAGCCATGTGTATATATGCTATGTGTGGGCATATGTATATAATACATGTGGGGGAGGGGAAAATATAGATCCCAATATAAGAAATGCACCTTTGGGTTCTGTTACTTGGGACAGACAATGCTGATGCATGGTAAACAGTTTCAGGAAAATACTGTGTACTTTTCTAAGTGCACCGCACACCAATGGCTCTTGTCATGAATTAATCTCTTCTTTCTCTGTCTTCCGGCAGAGTGTGACAAGCTGCGGCGGGATGGCTACCGGAGCTCACAGTATTACTCTCAGGGCCCCACCTTCTCCTCGTCCTCCAGTGCAATCTGTGGAAGTTACCAGGATGATTATGAAGAAATTGAACAAAAGGTAATGGTGAGGGCAAAGTGCTGGAAAGAATACGTGCCTGATGCTGTTTAATTGCCTTCCATAGCATTGTTCAAATAAGGTAGGATTTTTACAAGATTGTAAAGATGCGTATTCCTTTGGATTACAGTGATAACAGGTCATCCGACTTCCGTAGTCTCTTAAAAATCCCGGTTCTACCCATGCATTTATATAAAGTTCCCACTGGCAAAATAAAGGTGTGAAAGCTGGATGGAGTTTGGTAACGTTCTGAAGGGGAGACCCCAGCAAAGCTGTTTTGAATCTGTTGTGTACATTCAAGTAGCAGGAGGAGCTACTAACCAGCCATCAGTGTGCTCTGGTTGTAACATTGACATGTGCACACTTTGGATTGCTAATACAGGTGGTTATGCAGTTTCCTTAGGTAGAGGCTTTGTCGTGATGCATCACAACAGTTTTCATAAAGGCATCTGGAAGAACGAAAGATTGCCCACTAAATTGGGCTTATCAGCTTGATTTCAGTTTCCTTCATGGTTTTCATGTTTATATGCCCACATCTCAACTCCATGTATAGTTGGCTTAGAATTTAGAAATTAAACAGATAAGAAAGAGAAGACACAGTTGAGCACGAGTCCTAAGAAAGTTGTGAAGACATATTTATATATATATCAATTTATATATGTTTCAATTATAGAACTAGTAAGTTGCATTAATGTTCTGAAGAAGAAAAGAAATTTTGCTCCCCTGTCCTTACCTTACCCTATTGTGCCTGCGGGCTCTGAAAGAGAAGCTACCTCTGGTGGTGCGGGCTAGGACATTACTGCTGGCATGGACAGCAAGGTGCACTGGAGCCTGTCTGTCCACCTGAAATGCTGGAGCTCCTGGGGTTTTCAGGGTAGATGTTGTAGAATACTTTGCCACAAATTAATGTTGCTTAGAGAATGGGAGGCTATCCTTGATTGTAACGCAGTTAAATTTCTTTGAATCATTACTAAACCATATGAGCCTCTTTAGCACAGACCAAATAACTCTGTCTCTATACAAGGTGTGCAGATTCTGAGAAGTCACTTTAAAGGGTACAGTGTTTTCAGTTCTGTCCTCTATGGCTTTTAATCACATAATAAAGGTGTTGTGGAATAGGTACAGTCTCTCATTCAGGTGGTGATTGCACTATATGTGTGTATTGGCAGGCAATGCTGGAGCATCTTGTTTAGCTGTGTGTGGTATGTCCTGGCAGTGAGCAGATAATGTAAAGCACATTCACACTGGAGAATGTATTATAATGATAATTTGCAAAACCTTGCTGAAATCAGTGGAATGATTATTTCCACTGGGGAAAGTATTAACACATGGTTACTATTAAGGTACTGCATATATATGCACACATATATGTTATTAATTGGTCTTAGCCAATGCTGTGCAGCATATGACCATCTGCTCATGTAAAACTAATGCAAAATTTAAAAAATATAAATACGCTTTTTTTTTAAACCATTTGAATGAGAGCTTATAAGCATGGGTGAGGTCTCTTAGAGACTAAGAGCTGTCATCCTTATCTTGGTTAAGGGTTTTTTTGAGTATCAACATAACATGTTACTGACAATTTCTGTGCATTCTGAAAAAAACTAATGCAGCTAATTATGCTTCAAGGATAGGATAGCACTTACATTTCAAATTGGATAGTTTCCTTCAAATATTTCTAGCTGAAGGGATGATTCAGAGCTGTGAAGAAAGACAGTTGCCAAACTGGCAGTCTTGGATGTTACTGATTATCTCGGAACCTTAACCTTAAACCTGCCGCTCTTATTTGCAGCTCAGAAAGGCATTAATCCCTTGTAAAAGGTAGCATGAGTCTCCCTTCATATTGCACAACTGAGTGTTTAATGGTGTCTTTTGACCAATAACTTTTTTTAATTGGCTTTTTTTTGTAATGGCCATTTGTACCATTTGTAAATGGTACTCTTTTTTAAGATGAATACTTACCACAACAGATCTCTGAACTTGAATTATAATCTCACTGGTAAAGTGCCAAGTAATTCTAATAAGTCTTATACCTTGAGCAAGTCATATTTCAGCTGTCAGAAAGTTCTTCATGACAGTGTGGAACTGGGGTCAGCAAAATCCTGTGATTCAAAATGTGAACTTCTCACCACTGGATGAAAGCTTTGTAGCTTTGTTACCTATTCAAAGCAAAAAAGCCAACATTTAAATTCTGTACATGCAGTACTTTAATAGTTGAAATTCGAGAACAGCAGGATAATGATGGATGGATGAATAGCTATTTACTGTTTGGCAATTTGCTTCTAAGTTGACATAATCGCCAACTTGCAGAAAAACTGTTTTGCTGCATGGTGATTTCACAAAGGAAACCATGTTTCCCTACTCTTTTTAATCTGCTTTTTAAAAAAATGCAGCCAGATACTCTGCTCATCTGTCTTCGATGGAGACATAATATGAAACCATGGGTAGGTGATGTGAGAGGAGACCTCAATCCACAAACATTCTCAAGTTTTGTGGGGGTGGGTGTCTGCCACTAGAGGGTAATACTCATACCACAAAGCACATGGTTCAGCGTGAGCCTTAAAAAATGTCTAAAAAAGCAGAACATTTGCTATTTCAAAGGAAAACCGCTAGGGATAAGCAGGCAAGTTAGCCCCACTCAAACCCAAGCAAACAAAATCAGAAAACACAGAAAGCTGAAGTCGCTGAGTGGTAGTTGATATAAAATGAAGTTCTTGGAACTACCCTTTTGCTCTTAATGTTGATTCTTACAAGTTACATTAATGGACCTCAGGCCAAGCTCCACTGCACTACTGATCCTAATTGAGTTTGTTGGAGATTAAGTTGGTTTATCTGGGTTTTACATCTCAGTACTGTGATGAGTGTTCTTTCTTGTCTCTTACATAGTACAGTCGGTGAGGCGACTTGGGAGCTATTCCTGTCCTATAGTATTGCTCTGTTTTCCCAGTGTCAAAGATACATTGAGATGTCGCTTTCAAACTGTGGATCCCCTTATGTTCTGAAATGTATACATTGTGTATATTAAATGTATTTGTTGTCTATGTGTTTTTTTCTCATTCTTTTTTCTTTCCCTTTTCATCACTCATTCGCTTTGTTTCTTTTTGTTTCACACAACAGTCTAGTCTGTTAGACTGCATCTCTCAGTCTTGCATTAGTGCCTGCTGTAACTTGGTTCCCTGGAGCAACAAGGTACCTTGCCCACGAGTGGGACCATCCAGCTGCCGTATCTGCAGCTTGATGTTACTTGTAGCGTTTAGCATATGTGCAGTCTTATTCTGCTTTTAGTCGTCAGTCGTTACCTGCTTCTGTTTTCTGTTTAAAAATTACAAATAAAAACAAAACCCAACTGCTCAGCAGAAGAGTGTCATGCCAGGTTTGTTTCCTTTATTTTTTGTCATTAATCTTTTTTGTCTGCAGTCCAGTATCCTCTATTTACTTGGTTCACTGAAGATTTTTTTAATTCCTTTTTGTCTACTAACATTTGCCTCCTTTGAAACCCCTCCCCAAATGAACACTGTGTTTTATTTAATTGGCTGCTTCATTGGTTTTAATTAGCCAAGGAAAAACTTACTGATTGGGAGTAATGTATTTTTTTTTAAATTATGAATGTGACCTACAGAGAGTATGTGCTCCCAGGCATGCAGTATATCATGTCTTTACTCCATCTATGAAAATGTTTGTATGCCAAAAACTCATGGTATTTTTCCCCAGGTCCTGTCATTTGGCTTATGAACTTTGCCTTAATACAGTCTTAAGCTTTGGGAGAAACGGGGGAAAAAAGAGTATATTTGCCACTGTACTTAGCCGAACTGTTAGTCGTCTTTTCAATATCTGCAAGAGACCATTTAGTATCTTAAGTGAAATTAAATGCATTGACTGTATTGGCATGAGGGACTTGAGGAGGTCTAATCCAAAATTTTGCCGGGTGTTAAGAAGGGCTAAAGAGGTTGAGCCCTTCAGTTTGGAGAGGAACGGGCTCTGGCAGAACTGGAGGTAGCTGTAGGTGGTGGTGCCCTCAGCTGGCCTCCCTGCCCCGCTGCTGCGATTGCACGGGGGTGCTCCTGCAGTCAGCACACTGGTCTTCTACTGCTTCCCTCTTTTTTTTTTTTTTTTCTTTCCTTTTTTTTAAATTCAGCCTGGTTTACTGAGTTGGAACAGCAATACAAAGCATAAAGTAACAAAGCAGAAGGGAGTACAGAAAGCCTTTGAACAAACAAAAGAGGGTAATTCTTCGCTCACCACATACTCGCACTGTGCAATTGCTGCAGGAATTGTGGATGCTGGAAGTCTACATGAGCTCAGAAAGCAACTGGGTAAATTCTTGAGGAGGGGGAGGACTCCAGCCAATGCTGAGAGAATATTCAGGGGAAGGTATGCACTGCATGCATTCTCTGATTTAACTGCATCTATATATCATTGACTGGCCGTTATCATAAACCAGATACTAGGTAAGTTTCTAGAGCTCTGGTCTGATGCAGTATGACTCCTCTTACGTTTTTAATCCCATTGTGACAGAGTAGAGGAAGAAGAAAGGAACATTTCTGCAATGCTGGTTAAGGTGATAATTTGCTTGATGGTCAGTAATTTTTGCTGACAAAAAAAGATAATCCCTTAATGAAACAGTGAAGGTTATGAAGTGAAGGATTTAGTAAGATAGGAGAGTTGGCTAGTGTAACAGAAGATCTGTGTGTAGAAGTAATAAAAGGGGAATATTCTACCAAAATCAGGGGGGCTAGATTGGGGGTCTTAGTCTGGAGGACACCAAGTAGAGCAGGACATGAGTAATTCAATGTAAGTGTAATTTCATGTGTATTTATAATGTGGCAGTGTTCCATAACACAGCATGAAATCCCAAGGGTTGAAGTAGGCACGTAAAGTGTCCTTTTTGATTGGCCAAGAAACAGGGAGGTAAAGATTTTGGGGTTGTTCTTTTTCCTATTACTGTTTGTCTTTATCCCTTTGCATTTGGTGAAAGGGTACTTGAAGCTATCAAACCTAGTAAAAGACTGGAGAAGAAATCGGATGTTGGGAAACAGTAATAGCCAGCTGAATTGGTATGGCTCCTGTCCATATTGCTGTATGGATTTTTTTTCTCCATTTTGTTTTTCTGAGAAATTATAATTTTAGAAATTATTGCAGTAGACAGTGAGATAAGTGATAGGACTAGAAGTTTTAAATTCCTATGCTGAAAGGTAAAATTTGTTATGGATTGAATTTTCCTCCTAGAGGTCCCATCTTTTCAAACAGTGCAGTATAAACCATTAGACTGTAAAGAGATTAAGAATAAACAGAGTATTTAGGCAGAGTGTGCTATGAGGTATGCAGCATAGAATCACTTGTCTTCTGGGACCTCTCAAATAGCATGAATGTGCTGGGATAGTGAAACCCTTTTGTTGTATCTCAGCGGCTGAGTAGGCTGGGGGACAGTACGTCAACAACGCAATGGCAGGGCTCTGGCTTACTGAGCCATATAGTTTGTCTATAGGGTATTTATAGGCCATTTCTTTCCTGGATTCTCATTTCAACTCCCATTTAAAAGTTCGTGCTTTTTCCCCTCTAATGCATGTTCATGGAAACACTGCAATATCCAAAACTGTTGCTTTCACATCCCATCCTACCTTTCCCTCCTCCCTGGTCCATTAAAAAGGTCAAATTCCAAGATATTTTCCTAAGGACATGAGTCTAACATCCTGTTGCACAGAAATTTGGCCATTTAAGTCTAGCAATAAAGTTGTAATGAATCAGAGATGCTTTTAAAATGAAGCAGGTACTTTCTATTCTATTATGAACGCAGTCATAATAGAATATAGTCATACCAGCTTTGCTAAGCAGATACGTAATTTCAAAGTACTGCTTAGTCCAGTTTTATTTCTGATATAACAGACCTTACTCGAGAAGATTTTCCTGTTATACAGCAGCAATTCACTGCATCTTCTGGCAAGCTTCTGTGTTGTATATCTGGGAGTGTTTGCTAAAAATATATAAATCCCTATTTGCATCCTGATTATGAAGGTAAATAATTTCTATGTGAAGAAAACTGGAAGATGAGCTGTTCTTTTCCTCTATGTGCAATAAAGCTGTGTACAGCTTCGTCATGCCCATTAAAATCTCTTTTAATGAAAAAACCCCCTACACCACTACAGTTGTTAGTAATTTGGAAGGAAGAATGTAAGTAGAGACAGTCACGCTTATCCAGGAACCATGGAAGGTGTACCTATAGATGAGATGTAAACACTTCTTCCTACACGCAAAACCGCCCACAACTCTTTTACTGAATCATGCTGTAGAAGTACACACCACTGTCCTATGGCAGAAAATCATTCTTACTGACACAGTGCTTTGACCTCAACTGCATTATTGGGTTTTCAATTGCTTTTCATTCGCTATATGCTCACTGGGCTGATGCACTTCTGTCTGTCTTCCTCCATCTGTCCCCAATTTTCTCAACTTCTAATTCTGCAAGATTTGTGATTGTTGCTCCATTTGTTTGTTTGTTTGTTTGTTTGTTTTGTTCATAATTAGGATTCCCTTGTAGTAGATGCTTCAGTTCTTCAGTTTTTCTATCTGGTTATATACTGTAACAGAAAAAAGGCTTTTGCTTGGTTTGGGTAATTTCTTTGAAAAGGAAGGGTGGCTTTGTAACTGGTATCGCTGCCACTTGACATATTGGAGTAGCCCCTGGTGACTGCTGTACGACAGCTGAGACCTGGCACTGCAGTACAGTCTGAATGTGACAGATATTGATGCTGACAGTGTCACCCAAGCAGAGTATCTGAAGGTCACTGGAGCTCATCCTTACCCCACACAAGCTGCAAAACCAGGCTTGAGGGTCTCCTTGGTGCCCCAATTCAGGCAGAGAAAAGCTCTTTGTAGAAGGGGGAAAGCGATATTTCTCTGTCTTAACCCCTGGATTAGTCTTTTAAGTGTGCACACACGTGCCCACCGTGGCACTGGGCTAGCACTCCCGTGCCACGTTCCTTACAAACCCTTTCTCTCTCTCAGCTGTTTTTTAAACCTCACTGTGGGGAAGCATGGCCTGGAGGCAGCTTTCCCTTCTGCAATGACATTTCTCTCCCAAATGGCTTAAGGTAATGAAGGTTTTTATAAATTTGAGTGATTTGAGGTGGGGCAAATGCTTGTGTTTGTGTGTCGGTGTGTACACATATGTGTGCCTGCAGTGTATATGTGTATAAACAGTGTATGTATACCAGTCATAAAAAGATAAGCATTCACATTTTTTTATAGAAATCGTTTTAGAACCTTTTAAAAACAATGTGGGCCTGAAAAAAATAGTGGTGTCCTCCAAGAAGCTTGTATTGAAAGAATTGCTGCAGCTTTCACAGGGCTGAGCCCTTTCCTACAGAGCAGCATCTGTCCCATCCACAACCTCTCTAGTAAAGAAATGCAAGACTGACAGAAATGGATTATTTCCTCGAAGAAAAGCTCCTGTGTTTCAGAGTGTGATTCCAAACCGCAGGATGACATTAGCAATAATTTCATTGCCTGAAATGTTTTTGTTATTATTACCTGAAGAGATTTTACTTTTCTATTTTTTTACTTTTTGCCTGGAAGTAATTTTTATTTTTATTCTTTATTAAATAAAATGTTGGGCCCTGTCCTAAAGGATGTAGAGTTGAAGCATAATAGAATAAATAAATGGTTATTTATTTATAAACAGCAGGAACTCCTCATGGTAACAGGAAGAAAATTAAAATCAGAAATGATAAACAGTGGTTGGGGCACGGTGTCTGGGCATGTCTTTTGCATAGCGCTCGGCTTCAAGAGAAAACATATCGCTTAGGCTGAAAACACATAATAACCCATAATAATTTTAAAAATCCATCTGTTATAAATAGCTGTGATGTTTCTTTCCATGTCCGCGTACAGCAGTGAGGGAGTACTGACTGCCCTATTTTGGGTAGTAGTCTGCTCTCCAAAGGGAGAGAAGAAAAAGAAAAGGGAGGGAGGACTGTAACTCTGGTCTGGTGGTAGAGAGAAAAGTCCCAATGCAAACACCTCTGAAGCAGAGGAGTCGGGAGATTGCAGAGATCTCTGTTATCGCTGCAGCCTCTACCCAAGTCCTCTTCCATGGTTTTCTTCTCTCTTTTGTTTTGCCTGGGAGCAGAAGGAGCTGGAGGCTGGTGTTCCTCCAGGTCTTCCTTCCTCTCCTGCTTCTGGGATTCCCTGGGGTGCCTTGCTGGCTGGAGTGGGGAGGAGAGAACGCTGCTTCTCCCAGGTTTGCTTAGAGCTTGTGGCCACCTGCTAGAAACCCTAGTGATGCCATCTGCATGCCCTGAACCTGCCTGTCCTCGGGGTTTGCCATGGACTAATACTGTCCTGTCGGTAAAAGGCTACACACCGGCTGTTGCAGCCTCTTTTTCTGGTTCAGAAAGTTTTTTGTTTCATTGTTTGTTTGTTTTGTGGGGTTTTTTTAAGTGAAACACCCATCATGGAGGTGAAATCTGCCACTTCGATAAGGAATGACTTTTAAAAGGACTCATCTATGGCTACTAATATTAACTACTTTATCCTTGAAAAATGGGCAAAAGGGGCCCATTAACTGTGGAATGAGTTCTCCAAGGCCAAAGCAAAAGTTATTCTTGTTACCTCACTGATACATGGCTGATGGTTTTGTGTAGAGTCCATTGGCGGATTCTTATTACTGAGCTCTCCCAAAATCTGTCTCTTCACAACAGGCTTCTTGCGGACACCTTACACATCCTTACAACCTACAGCTAGAGGAAAGCAGTGCTCAAATCTCATCTTCCTAATAGGGCACTGGGAGAGGTTAATCACTGCAGGGACAAGATCAATGCGTACGATAATTAGTTACCGTGCTTTGCTCTGCTCAAGACCACTCTTTTCTCTCTCATTGGTATCTATTCCTTAGACTGATCAGTTGTCTTCGATAAATACAATCCAGGTGTTTTGTTGTGGGTTGTTTCTTTTTTTAAAATCACTCTCTATGTAGGTCCAAGTGTGATATTTGTGAAGGGTGTATTTTGCTCCACAAGCAATTGTGCTGACTGCAGCGGCAATATCTTAATAATACCATAGTCCTACCCTTTTTTTTTTTTTTGTAGTTAACTTACATAGTTGCATTTTTTTCTGTTTGTAGTGTCCTGTCTCTTCCCCAGAAGAAGAAAAGCTTATTACCATCAAAAGGCCTAAAACTCCAGTTTCAAATGAGTTCTCAGATATCAACACCCAAACCAACTGGACTAAGTCGCTCCCACTGCCAACACCAGAAGAGAAAATGCGACAACAAGCACAGGCAGTCCAAACAGATGTGGTTCCTATTAATGTGACTGGTAGGCTTTTAATTTCAGTTATTACATTCCACTAATGAGGGAGGGAAGGGATAAAAGGGGATCCCTACAGCTGAATACTATTTTGACACTCATATATTCGATGCATGAATTTTAAATTACTTATTGCACCTTTCTGTGAAAACAGTGTTTTGTGTTTAATAGTTCATTTGTGAACTTAATGAGAAAACCTCAAAATCCCTTAAAATGGTCATTAATGAAATAGAAAATAGTCTACATGACGTGGGCTTGAAACAGCATTAGATATTCATGAAATAGGAGAAGAGGATTGATAAATAGCTATGTTTTGCTGTGGACTGCATTGAAAATATGTTATGGAAATTCACATTTTATGTAGTACTAATGATATTTCAGAATTTTCTTTTAGGAATTTTATGTAAGGAAGGTTATCAGGGACTTCTGTATTCCAAAGACTGTGTGTTACAAAATTCAAGAAAAAGAATTCTAGGGTCTTATTTTTATGAGCAACAAGCGGTTTAAGTGTCAAGGAGAGTAGGGGAAGAACAGCAAAAGTTAATGGGGCTGTGTCCTTGAGCAAGACTCTTGGTAAGACATTCCACTTACATGGCGGTAGTCCACATTTTCTTGTTATAAGCTGTGTATTGACCCTCCGTTTTCAAAATGCTTTTTGGTTTTACAGTTGATGAACTCTGTGGAAGTTAAATTATGTTAAAGCCTAATGCTGAATAGATACTATTTTGTGTGTAAATAGAATTTCTGTGAAAGATTGAATCATCACTTCAATTTAATAATCCTTCTTTTTCTACACAGTATCAAGATTGTCTATTATTAGTTGATTCAAATAACTGACCGTTTGCCTGCCAAAACCACGATGATATTCAATATCCAATTTATTTCAAATGCCATATGTCGCTCTCTGGCTTCATGCTTCCTCTTACAATCAATAGCTTGCAATGTTTGTTTTTGCTTTGTTTTGAAAGTAAATTAGGCATTCTCTTTCCCTGAGTGACTACAAATAATTTTTTCATCTATATAAACTATTTTTTTAAATAGTATTCTTTAATAGTATTTAAATATTTAAATAGTATAGGAGCAGAACTTCTATGACAAACATCAGAGAGCTCTGAGAAATCAGCAAGAAACATTTCCTTAAATAAACAGCAGAAAATATTTGAGATAAATAGCGTAAAGACAAGAGAATATTACAAACACTTCAGGTCTGGACAATTAATAGAAGGAAAATAAATGCAATGCCAAAATGTTACTAGGCCAGTTGGCATTATCTAGGAAATGTAGGATACAGGTGCAGAAGGCTGAGTTACGGGAACAATGGATAATCTGACATAATCGATAAGCTTGAGCAGGGCTTAGATATTGTGACAGCAGGAACAGGGTATGCTTACAGAAAGAGTAATCTGCTGTTGATTTAATGACCCTGTGTGCTGAAAATACATGGGGGAAGTAAACAGATGGAAAGAAAGATGAGGTAAAAGACATCAAATAACCCTCTTAGATTTAATTCAGTGTCACTGGGACCATTACCGTGTTTGGATAAATTACACTTGTGATTTCAACCAGCTTAATTTGACTGGTGTAGTAAACCTTGTGTCCCTTGAGTTGTTCGGTTTGCCCTCAGCAAACTCAGTGGTTCTCAACATTTCTGATGGAAACAGTGAATGTGCATATTCCACTTCACCTTTCTGGAGTGTGTTGTTCAGCATTTATTCCCTTATAAACAGGGTAATCAGAAGGGATAGAAAGGGAGGGCAGTAAAGGAAGACTACAGTGTATGAACTGGCCTCTGGGATCCACCGTTTCCTTTCCCTTGGAATAACTATACTGCTACTGTGAAACAAGGCAGGTGACAGTAACAGACTGAGCCACACACACTACACAAAAAAAGCTGCTGTCCTTGTTCCTCATTAAAAAGTCACAATCTGCTCCGCTCCTCTGCCCTCCCACACGCCAAGTAATTTTATTTTGTGAAGTTCCTTATGTTACTGCATGAGGCAGGAAAAAAAAAACTCAACAAAAAATTCAGTGCCGTTTGTTCAATGTGCCATGAAATGAACCGTCACCGGCTTTGGTTTTGATTTGGCTTTTTCCTTTACTTGCCCTTTTTCTCACTCTCCCAGAAGAGAGGTCAAAAAACTTCCATTTTATTACTCCTGGCATGAAATAAAAGGTTAACCTCCGAAGAGGCTGCTGGCAATTGACAGCATTTTCAGCAGTGCATTAGTAATGATTGTGCTACAATGGCCTCTCACGTGGCTGTGCAACAAATGCTCCACGAGTTCAGCTTTCAGGGCTCTTCGGTGAACAGATTGCAACTAATACAGTAGTAGTAAAAAATCTGTTGGATAGCCTGAAGGTGCAGGGGCATTGCATGAGGCTGACAAGCTGCTGACTAGATGTCCAGATTTGGAAGCAGTTTCAGGCTTTGGGAGTGCCTGGGCTGAGCTTATTCTGGCCTGGAAGGAGTTGGGCTGAGTTTTCAGTGGTGGCCAATCTTTGCTTTTACATATCCTGGAGGTTAAAAGATGTAAAATGGTGTCTGCTCTCATGGGTTTTCCAGAACTAACTTTCTTTCCAGATGGAGGAGACTGGGGATGGTGGAGGTGATCAGTGCCAGGCTGTATCCTGCAAAACATTTAAGTATTTGCTTGAGTCCAGCTTGACTGACTTCAGTGAGATTTAAGCACATACTTAAATGAATCCCAGAAAACTAAGTAAACTTTATGAGGGCAAACTGAGTAAACTGTGTGAAGATGCTTAGATGATTCGTTACAAACCTGTATCAGAAGGAGAAAAGTATCCTTAAATCTGCAAAAATATATTTAATATTAACATCAATGTTTTAAAAAAAACCCAAACAGATGACAGTGAAGAAAGGAAAAAAGACTGAGGCATTCTGATTTTGCTTGTTGGAGTTTATTGAATACTTAGAAATTCTACAAATTTGCACAGAGGCTTTCAAAAAACCTTTGTGTGTCAAAAGCCATTGAAAGTGGATTGGTTAAGTTAGCTCTTGGGTGGCTCAGGGGAAGAAGTTACTGTGGATCAGCTGACACAGTAACATTTCCCCATGGTCACCCTGTTTGTGCTGTCTGAGGCTTCATGTAAAAGACTCTCTCCTTGTTTGCACTCTCTACTTACCGTTTACATTTTATTCCAGGGCTTTCAAGGCTGTATTTTAATTTCCTTGCAACTCACAGCCTCAGGCATAATTGTTGGCCTTTGAATGGACAAAAATACGTTCAGAGATGAAAACCTTCTCCTTCAAATTCTTTGGATTTGTTATAATGTGGCTAGAATTACTATTATCCTGCACGGCAGGATTACCTAATGGTCCTGACCCTGGTAGGGTCCTAACATCCTAACAGTGGTAATGCCCCAGACAGTGGATAGTTCTGTCTCAATATTTCAGGGCTTCCACTAAGCCAGTGGGATCCATAGCTCTAAATGATATACATGGGCTTCCTCCTCCCTTAATCTGCCCTGACTTAAGTCAGTCCAAAACTTGGATGAAACTGGCCCTTCTTCACAGCTGCAAGGATTCTGCTTAGCACAAGTGTGGCTCATGGGAGCACAAGGCTCCAGTCAAACAGAGTCAGAGTCTTTATATTTACAATATGGTGAATGAAACTGCTACATTTTTTCCTTGCATTTTCACAAGTCCACACGCTATACTTCAATATATGACTGTGTCTTTAACTGTTTTAGAGGTAATGAGGTTTTCTACGCTATTTGCACGACACGCATCGTACTGATGTGCGGTCAGCCAGGGATAATATTTATGATGTATTAGTTACTGTGCATTAATCACTTTTTAGAGGTAAATAATTTGGTCATCAGTTTTCAAAAAAAGTATACCAGGCAAAAAGCATATACATATCTATCAGTTTTTTTCTGAATTTAAGTTTTAAATGGGTCATCTAAAGGACATTTAGCAATGCTTTAAAATGCTTTAACTTCTAAAAAGGGAACTTATGTGTGAGATATGGGGGGTAGTCATTAGGCTTTTGGAAGTGACAGAGAATTAACTCAGCTCATAATCTATAGGACAAGTTTGACCTTGCTACTGGTAAAATGGCCAAATTATAAACCTCTAAACAAAAGTGAATTCCTAAAGAAAAGCTGCTTAATGATAGTGGTGCTTATGGGTCCCATTATGTTAGAGCACATGGTCATCATAAGGCTTTGTCTGGCAACGTGTACTTACACACACATTTTTCAGCTCTTGCCATTGTATATTTTCATAATCATTTATAAAGTTTCAACTTTAAGCAGCTTCCACTCTAACTGAAATATTTATGAGACCACAAGATCAGTTTGATCTCTGCATGCTCCATCGTACTTATTTGTATTCATGTTAAAAGATCACCACCAGAAATGTGGTACACTTGACAAGTTCAGAGCAACTTGGAATGAAAAAGTGTCTCGTGTGATTTAACGATGGAGCTGTGCAAAGACATTGTAATAGCCGTTGCCAATAGCAATGTCTGTTCCTGTATAAACCATTGTGGTCTTTCATTTTCATGAGCAGATTTGCTTTTTCTGCAGCTCGTTACTTTAAAATGACAAAACTATACAAAAAACCACAAAGGGCCAAATTAAAGCAAGGATTCTGTTCACTTGTGGAACTAGAGCTGCTCTGACCAGATCTGAACTGGGCTCAGGAAGTCAAAATTCCTTTTAAAACCTGCAGTAGTGTGTAATGGATATGTGTGTTCTAAAGCCTTACTGTGACGATATGCCTTATCTTCCCTCGGTGTAAACCTTCATTGTAGGACAAAGCTAACATCATTTATTAATGCCTTTTTTTCCATTTCTACAACAAAACTAGTGGAAGAAAGTGCATGATGTCAGCGTGCTTGGAAGTAATGTTGCTTTGCTTGTTCTACCATGTATTAGGGGAGAATTTCGACCGCCAAGCCAGCATTCGGCGGTCTCTAATTTACACTGACACGGTGGTAAGACGGCCGAAGAAAGTCAAAAGGAGAAAGACTATTACAGGAATCCCTGACAACATACAAAAGGAGCTAGGTATGGCTCA